CATGAAGTTGTTAAAAATACCTAGAATTTTCCAACCCTAGAAGATACCAAATTATGACAAAAACATGCCATATATCAGTATACCACAACATCTGAAATACGACATACAACTAAGAACATAAAATGTGTTATTTGGGCGCACAGTATAGCACAAAATAGATTTCATATTCATTTTTCAATTACTTTTCTTTTAGCCAAGAATGAAGGATAACAATCTTATACCTGATATCAAGAAAAACAATGATAAAATTATTATTGATTTCATTTTAGCCAGCTATTCAAACACGATCTGCTTTTTCAACTATAACCAAATGAAAGAAGAGCATTGCAAGCAAAAAGAAAGATGAATGAATTTTCGAGAACTTACTAGTAGCTAATAATGACTCCCTTCATAATGAAAGAGAAGTAAGGATAATGAAAAGATGAAGAATTGATTTATGCGGTTTGAGGTACTTGTCTTTCATTTTGTTGCAGCTGAAAAACGCGATAAGTATGCAATTGCTAAAAGAACTTCTGCTAAAATAAAATGCATCCTAATTAACATTGTTTTTCTTGCGCTCTATTTCACTTAGTTTGCCATTTTTCGCAGCGTTTAATGTATTTATTTTTGTCAAAAATTGTTACTTTTATTTAATTGGAAAGCATAATTATCAGCATTCTTTAGTTCGGATAAACAATGTTCTGCTTTTTCTTATATTTCCCAATAATTTTTGTCTTCTACAGACTGACTGGGTAGCATTTTTAATTAAGGTTTTCTAAAAAAAGAATATAAATTGGAATTTTAATGTTTTCAGAAACGTTTAATATTTTTCTCAATACTGAAAACCTTTCATATTATGTGTTCAAATCGAAAATGAAGTACAGAAGTTATAAAACAAAAGGGATTATTTTATAAAAGACACAAAAATATCAATATTACACTCAAATCAGAAACATATAAAAAGTAAGTGCATTACAATTTTTATGCGTTTTTTTTTGGCAGTAAGCATTAAAATAATGAAAGAAATCCCATCAGGCTATGTTTACTCGAAATGTTAAGTATCGAGTATGTCATCGTTTCTTTGGCAGGCTCTTGCATAATTTCTTATCACTTGTCCTGCGTTAGCTCATAATGTTCCTTACAAAATTCAAATCAGTAATTGGGTGTATTAAGTAAGTGTATTTTACATCTCGTATCCGGAGTCCATTTTTAAACTTCTGATGAGACAACCAGCTGCCAGCAGGGCTAGAAGTTGTACCAACAAAATGGGTAGAGCTATGCCACCAAATATCCCAGCTTTTTTCCTTATGTAAGACAACATTTTCGTTGCACAACCCTGAAATAATTTTAAAAAGAATTATAATATCCAGAAAAAGCATATGGTAAAAACAGAACTTTATATTAAAAATATCAGTAATTTTTAATCTTTATTAATAGCTAGTGGTAGTGCTTGAAAATAAGGAAAAACAAAAGGTTCTAGTAATGAAGAAGAAACAATTTTACGAAGCCATTTGCTGATTTACGTACATTTTCCCAAGAATTTATGGAATAATTACTTTACCCGGAATAATACTATTTCAAGCAACAAAGCGTATTTTCTTGCGTATCCCCCCCTTGCGTTTTAGTGCTAAGCTCTGAAAATATCAAAAAGATTCGCATAATATTCGCCTTCTTCTATTGTACGTACCTTTTTCCTCTGAGGGTTAGTTTATTGCTAAATTGTATTTTCTTGATTATTTTAATTTTTATTCAGTGTATTGAGCTTGTATTTGCACTTTTGTATTAGCATTTCATCCATTTTATTACCCCTACCATTAATTTTTTGAAACATATTTTATGCAGATTCTTCGCTGAGCTACACGGAAGTGGCAGGTATTCTCACATTTTGGAAAATTTCCGAACATGGTTTTTAAAATGTTATTAAAAAATAGCTCATCAGCTTTATCTGTTGCTGATGAATTCAGTCTTTCGAAACACAGGTCTGTTACTCGCTCTCCTTCTTTTGGGTTCTTCCGATGTCCCTCTTGGGAACTGCGTCAAGATTTATTCATGTAAGGTACTCCTGGAGCTTTGCAACGTAATTGAGTTGGACGTCGACCCAATTACTGTTAGCTATTACACTGGTGTGCAAAAATTAAGGACGAAGTCGAAAAATTAGCGTATCAGCTGAACGAAGAGGCAGAGCGGACAGAAAGACCAATCAGGAGATTAAGTAAGTGATGTACGTAGCACATGCGCAGATATGCAGGTAGACGTAATGGGGGAGTGTCTGAGTAGTATAAAGAGGTTTGTCGGTGTAAGATCAGTATTTCTCGCAAAGATTGCACGCCGTATAGCAGTTAAAATCACACCGAGTTGCTGCCTCAGCGAGAAATGGCGAATAATCAATCTGTTAGACGACATCTGGATGCTTTACCCGAGGTCGAATCATTGGGAAGTTGGAGAAGGCCGCATGTGACAAGTGTTCGAAATTGCTCACAGCATCGTTTTTACGACTTTGGAGACAATTTCAAACTACAGGAACAGCTATCCGGGGGTTTAGTAGTGGTCGTCCACGAGGAACCCACACCCGCAGATGACCGGTATATTGCCTTACAGGACAGAAGAAAGGCGGCAGCAGCGGGAGAAATCACTAGACCCACACAGGCGACTGACGACCGATATCGCGTTTTACCGTGGCCAGAAGACTGCACGGTGGTGGTCTGTTTGCACGACGCCCTGTACGGTGTGTACCTCTAAAGCCTGCCCATCGGAGAAGGCGTTCTCTGTGGTGCCGGAAACACCGGAATTGGAGAGACAATGAATGGGGACGAGTACTCTTTACAGATGAGAGCAGATTCAGTCTGAGCGATTCTCATCGCATACTCATCTGGAGAGAGCGGGGAAGCCGCAATCATCCCTCGAACATCATTGAAAGGGACAGGTATCATATCCCCTATTAAAGACCGGATGTTTCTTGCTGGACACCCATCACAGGGATGTTTCGGCCTTCAGTCGCATTGCGCTCCATGCTACTTTTTCAATAAAGCTTCTTTTTATCCCTCTGATTTCTCTTTTAGTAAGTGTTGCTTACATTACTCATGTCCTTACGTATTGGGGATCTTACGGTATTAAATGTGTTTTTTGGGAAAGCTTTTGTTGATTGGGAAAGTTATATTGAAAAAAACCGTCTCGTTCTTAAGTTTTGCACACCAGTGTATAACGTTAATACTAATATGTATTCTTACTGGAATGTAGGTTTCTTTTAAAGAAATAATACTGTAATAGCTAACAGAATTTTATCCGCGACTACTTTTCATTTATTATTTTCTTAGTGTGTTCTTCGGAAGACAATTACTATTCATTTTGTTCTGGAAATTCGAACGCAATAAGCGGCTAAGTTTATTAACCAATGAGTTAAATAAACGATGAGCACTGTACTCATGTAATTTCTCTATCTCGATTTTCGATTGCTTAAAAAAGTGGGAAATTACTTGAGGAAATACGGTATATAAAATTTTTCCTAAAGCCATTGAATAGGATCCTATTTAATAAGTAGGCCTTACAAAGGAAATTCTCTGCAGCTAATATTAGCATGTTAATATCTGACTCAGATTTTATGAAAGTTAGACGACGATCACCTCTTCCTGCTCTATCAAGATGATTCATTCTTTGTTAATAACTGTGTTATACGACTAAAACCATATTTCCCTGGATAAGATGATGGAAAAACAATGACATACATTTTAGCTGCTCCGTATAAAAAGGGATATTTACATGCAATCTCAGTACTTTAAATATTTCATCAAGAACCCCTTAGTTAATATTATATATCCCTGAAATATAATTGTTTTCGTGTAGATTCTGAATCCTTCAGGTCTTGTGGACCCCTGTGTGAAAACGCTGATTTAGTCAACTCTTTGGAGGCCAAAACGCCTGAGCCTACTCTTTATTCAATCACCAAAACCGGCTGAAATTACGATGTTGTTTTCTTCCTCCCCCCTAAGGTATGCAGTAGCAGGTGCAGTTTCTCCAAATGCATTGTATCAGTTTATTGAAGACAGCGTGTCCTGAAAGGCTAATGGAAGCTCCTTTGTTAGGAGGAAGAAAGGATGTCATTTGAAATATTTACACCTTTTTGTGAGTTAATGGACGGGGAGGAAGATACGGACTGGAGAAATAATGGACAGGGAAAGGCATTTCGGTATTTTAAGCATACAGGTTATGTAAGACTTCGGTTTTCTAATATTCCGGAATCAGTGTTAATATCATTGTTATAGAAATAATTTATTTTAATTTATTTGTCGAAACAGCAATTCTATGGGAGTTATTGTTTAATTAGTAGTTGCTTTGAATATTCTACCTTGATTTACTCAATCCATTAAATAAAAAAAGAGAAAAAAAGAGAGTCTGTTACTGGACTTGTAGTAACTATTCTCATGACTTCGTCTAATACGAAGGTATCCTTCCCTATAGACAGATAACCCTAACATGCTTTGCCATAATCAAATAACCAAACTACGCCAGCCTTCAAAGCACAGCAGATTCTCCTTTCTGGTATTATGTTTTACATGTCTGCAAGATATAGATCTCAATTAATAGTATAACATCGTTGGACTAACGAAAAGTTATAAAAAACTAGGAAAAAGTTGTAAAACCCTATAAAAAGTTCTATACTTTTGGGTAGCAACAAAAATCGATATTCAAAAAGTACGCATATTGTAGCATCCTACATGCATTGATATGCGCTATGCAAACTGGAAGCCAAATGAGTTCCTCTAAAAACTTCAACGATTAAAAATCTATAGCCCTCAAAATGCATTGACTCTTTATTTATAACTACATTATAAATACATTAAGATAGTTTAAAATTTACGTTACACTTTTTTTCAAGTAATTACCCGGGTAGGCAATGCGAATAAATCTCCAAAGCAACAGAGTCTTGTTTGTAATTTTAAAAGTTGGAAGAGCGAGAGGAAGCTAGTGTTACGAATTTTGTACATAGAATAGATAATTTTAGTGAAATTATATGTGAAATTACTGTATTCCTTTAGTATAATGTAACATAGTAAAATCCTTTAGTAAAATCTAAAGGAGCGAAGCTTTCCGAAAAGTGGAAATACAGTTGCAAGTCTATTTAACATCGAGTAAATGGGGCTATCTCGCTACTTTTGCGAGAAATCGCCAAATTATCAAACCGATTTGGCGAAAATATTATGGAAAGAAATCGCCAAACTATCGAACCCAAATAGTCGCCAAACTTGGCGACATTTTGGTTCGATCCCTGTATTACCGTAATAGGTGTTGTAATTGTATAATTGTAATTGATGTTTTGTATAACTGTAACTGTATTCGCCCTTAATATGCCTTCTACTAATTTTGAGAAGCAGAAAGTACTAGAAATATCTCGGCGGCCGAGTGAAAACTATAAGGTCGGAGACACAGTCTGGCCTCAGTGTTTGTTGTGAGTTCTTAGTTCAGAGCAATTTCAGAGGACTGAAAGCTTCGCCTAAAGAGCGTTAAGTTCTTAGCAGTTTGAAATGCAACTACTGGTAGTATCCTGTGTTGCTGTGAACACCTGTACGAGTAATTCTGTGAAAAGTTTCAGAACTTTAAAGTGTTCCTTTGGTAAAATAAATTTTATCAACCTGTCATCGGAGCTGTGAGCACTCAATCTATTACGGACCCGTACGCACGCAACATTAGTAAAAGCGAAATTATACATGTTCAATCAATAATTGTGGAACAGTAAAAGATATTTTGGATGTCGCTAAATACTTAGCCGGAACATCATTCGTAAAACAGAAATTATACTATTAGTAATATCTGGACTATTTTCTTCCGAAGTGCACAATTAAAAATCCCAAAATTCGAGAATAAAAGAATTGGAAGTGCATGTTAAAAGTAATTAATGGCAGACTAAGTTATACTATAGAGTAATCTGTATAGAGTAACACAGTAAAATTTCAATTCTTTCCCCTTGTGCTAAAAATGCACTCAAGAAAACATTTAAGCAGCACACTGACTTTTTCTCTTATTTAAGACATTTGAGGAGAAGTTCTTTCTAGAAATTTTCATATTTTTATCCCATAAAGGTTCTATTTGGAAGCCTGGATAATCTTAAAAGAGTTGACAAATTTGGCGATAGTTTCCAATTACCGCAAACTTCGTGGTGTGTAGGCGTGATGTGTGCGTGTTTGAGATAATATTTTTTTTTCTACTTTACTTCATGACCATCCCTTATTTTGTGTTGGTTTCTTATTTTCTTTCTTCTCTTTCCTTTTGCTTTGTCTTGCTAGTGAGAGTGCTTGTGTAGTCTTTGCAACCAATTATCCTTTTATTTTTTAACTAATGTTTTGCTACTAGGAGGTTTGGGCTTTGATTGCCCGTAAGCAGTTTTTAATTGATTTTAGTCTTATTTTAATGAAGCTTGTGCGATTTATGGGGGGGGGCACGGTTGGGCCCCTGGCAGCTGTCGTTATGGTGTGAATGGGTCCCGTATAATGAGGACCTGGGCCGGAGGTCCGTCGTCTGGTGTGTCTGTCGTTAAAGTGTTTTAGGTGGTGCAGCCCATCTTTGGCTATAAAGTTAATTTATTTTCATTAGCCAAGATTCTAACTATCATTTACGTTACAGCTACTTAACAAACTGAAAACATTTATGTCCATAAAATGTCATATATTAAAGCATAATTAAAATTAAACACATGGTTTTTAAGTAAACAAATAAAATCATTTACACACATTTTCAAAAATGTATAGCAAGCTATATAAATTTATAAAACTTTTTAACATAATTTTGTCGAAATGACGATGAAACAGAAATACTTCCAAATATTCAGAAGATTATTTTGTACTTACGATTTCATGTAAGTTTCCTGTATCACTCCTTTGACAAGAATTAGGAGTTAAATCTCCTGGTACATAATCCCTAGGGCTAATTGAACCGCAACACTCCAACTAAAAATAATTAAATATATAAGTAAGCCAATGTATAAAAAAGACAATTATTGTCTTAAAACTAATGATAAATTTTAATTATTTAAGTCTCAATCAAATACACATATACATTTAATGGCATTTATCTTTTTGTTGTAGCAGAAGATTCTAGAATAATTAAAATTTCAGACTATTTTATTTTGATAATTCGTGTAGAAGCATGTGTCTCATTTGTTCATATACAGACGAGTAATTTTGAAAGCTCATAATAAGATGCTTCTGCTAACTTTTTAATGGAAGAAAGTTGTGAAATAGTCATTCAGAATAGCTCAGATATCTGTAGCAGCGTTTGTTCATGAAAGTTTCAGAATCCAATTAAAACTACAGTTCAACCAAATTTAATGAGATTCAATATAAAAATTTAAATTTCCTGGTAAAAGAAGATTCACTCGGTTTTATATTCGGTATGATTTATCTCTTTCCATATAAACCTTCAAAAGTGTGTGGCAGTTACAATAAATTGTCTTCAAGACGGCCATTACGATTCCAAATGGTTTTGGTCTTTTAAGTTTTTAAGTGGTCATCTTAGAGAACATGTCTGTCACTGAGATTAATACCATTATTTAATATGGATCTCAAAATTACTGATCATGTTTACAGAAAATTACGTATGGAAGAGCTGGCAATATAAAGATTTAATTATATTTTCAGTTATTGCGGCACAAATGTTCATTAACACGACACAGCTGGAAAATACCTGCTTACAGCTCCACGATATTAGTTATTCTTGAATTAAAGATAAAGCTATTTTATAAAACTATGAATAATATAAATTACAGTTATTTTAACTGGAACACAGTTCTAAAGTTATGAGTGGTGATCAATTCCACGACCAAGCATCTTACCATCACCAATAGTTCTGAAAGGTCTAGTGTTCAACACTTGACATTTCTAATAGCAATCCCTTTTCGAGCAACTATTGTAAATATTTGAAATGGTATCCTAATAATAAGATAAAATGTTCCTTGCAAGGTGTTCAAATAAGGCATGGAAATGATTGTTTTGGGAGCTTGCTTGGCCAATCAAAAGACTCCATAAAGTCATTGCTATCGGTTTTTTTTCTGCGATTTTAGTGAAAGTGCTTGTTTTTCAGTCCACACAACTAAAAGCGTAGAAGAAGACGGCACTGAATAGTACTAAACACTTTTTAAGGATTCAATCTCAAATAGTAAATAAGTATCATAGAATAACCGACAATTAAATTAACTGGTACTACGCTACTTAAACAATAAGCAAAAGTAGGACTTAGTTCAATCGAAAATGGAATAATCAAACTCATAAATAAGGTTTTCACATCCTTTCACAGGAAATTGTACTAAAATGCTTATAGTTTTGCCTGCATATATGGTGTCCGATTCCCTAAAATTTTGCCTGCAGAGACGAAAAAAGACCCTTTTAACCCCCAAACCATAAACATCCTGCCATCGAGAAATAAACTACGTAAAAAAGTATGATAAAAAGAGTAAAACACCCATTTATAAGATTAGCGCCATTAGACTGAATAATAACTTTCTTCCCAGATATTCCACTGTCATGTAGTGCATCTTCTCAAAGAAAGTATAAAGATTATAAACTTCATTACGCAGTCTTTTGCTTAAATTTACAGAACGTATTCAATTTATAAGAATGACCAGGATCTAGACGAAATCAGGAAAGCCAGTTTATTCCATTTAATAAAAAAACAAGGCTATCTTCATTCAGTGAAATAATATCTCTATTGTAAACTAACAACAAAGAAGATATCAAGACCCATACATTAATGGGCATCTTTGGAATTTAGTATTTATTTCTAGCACATCACAGGTAGACCACCATACATAAGACATTCGCATTTGTTATCAATGGTCACACTCAAGGACTGCAGGACTAAATTCAAGAGATCTTCAGCAATCTCCGAAAGAAATTAAAAATAATCATATTCTTAGAAAAGCAGTTCTATTTCATAAATTATGACAGCAATTTTACCATGAACAGTATTTTGAATAAATAGGAAAACCTTAAAGATTCTTGACAAAGTTAAATGCTTACGAATGTTCACAGAAAACAAATTATTTTGGTTCTTCACTTCCAAAACTGAAAAGAAAAGCTAATGCTACGAAGTTCAGAAAAACGCAGAGCTCCGAATGGGGATTGAGATAAGCAATTTAATAGTTATTTAGAGCATAAGTACTAGAAAAAATTGTTCTCTATCAAGCCTAACCAACTTGATTAGTTCCTTTGATAAAAGGTATTCATTAATAGTATGCAAAGATATTCTTCTTGCATATATTGAACGTATTTGATAATCGTTATCTTACCATTGTGGGTATTGAAAAGAATAATTTCGTCATGTTCAGAACCCAAACAGTTGCAATTAGAGCACAGCACTGCAGTTGCAGATACCGAAATATAATTTTGGCAAGATTTTCAAATAAAACTATCGAACTAGCGTTTTATATATACATAATCCTTCGAAATTAGAGAGCACACCTTCAAGGTTTTATAATGGCTGTACTTTCAAAGAAATTTGGCTAATCTAATTAAAAGATGATGACACCATAACGATTTCTATATGTAAAAGAGGGAAAACTTTTATAAGGTTTAAAATTATGTATTTCATTTTGTAGCAAAAGAAGTCCTCACACCAGAAAACGTTGGTCAAAAATGGGGCTGGGAGACAGGAAAATATGAGATCAGTGACACTATTTGTTGTTGCAAAAGCAACCCAGAACTACTACAAATTAATATGGTGTAGGATCGCCTCAGGCATCGATGCAATTTGAAACGGCATCCGGCATGGATGCTTACGAATGCCTAATGCTTTCCTGATGAATATCCTGTCAGATCTGGCTTACCGAGCAGCCAGGTCAGACACGTTTGCGATGGTTGGAGGCCAGAGAACCATTGTGTCGGTAATATGTTCAGGGAGGAAGAAGTTAGGCGATCAGGACGGCTATAAAGAGATTGCCACGGGGCGTAGAAATTCCGTAGCGATGTATGCTGTGTGCCAAAAGTAGTTGTAAATCCCGGCGGGCACTACAGCATGGGTACTGCAACCAACTGCAGGATGTCTTTGACGTAACAGTGACCAGTCAGAGGGGTGCTCACGATGATTGAAAAAATGACCAGGTATCATACACAACAGTAACCCTCACCGTAATGCTAGGCATGATGGAAGTATATCGCTTCACAACGACATGAGGGGAGCAATATTGTTTTGTGTGCTTCCTCAAATGGATAAGGCAGTCATCCTGGGTAAGAGAGAACCTGATATCAGCACTAAAAACGACGACTTCAGTCCATTACATTCTACCCAGTACAAGTATGACGTCACAGCAGATGTTGTTCGCAATAAGCTATCGTTGATGGTAAGGATTGTAAGAGGTGCCGATAATGCATTTCAATCTAGGCTTTACGTCATCCCATGGTTCGACGCGGCGCCAAACCTCCCAGAGACCTGAGAAGGTTTCACTCAATAAGGGAAAGTGCAGTCATCGCTGTTGTTAGAGCGAACAAAATAGCTCGGTCCGTCTTTCGAGTTGTCCTTCGCCCGCTGACGACGTGCTGGAACCATTCCTGATAACATTTCCTCACTGTTATCACTCCAATCACTGTTATTACTCCAATCTTTGGACGTGCTGGAACCATTCCTGATAACATTTCCTCACTGTTATTACTCCAATCTTTGGGCAGGGAATTCACGATATGACCACCCAGCTTTCTAGAAGGTAGTAATGGTAAGGATTGTAAGAGATGGCCTATAATGCATTTCAATCAACGTTTGTCCGTTGTGATATACTTACTGCGTTACGTTGCGATCTCGTCAAGTAGGCCTAATTTTCCTTGGACACTACCACGAAACAGAACTACCAAGGAAACCGGTATTCGAGGTTTGCAAGAATTAACCGTTCTGCTTTCTCCTAATAAACTTAAAATAAAATAGTTTTAAGACTGACATTCCAAAGCGTCATTCCTATTTTCAAAATCCGTAGGACAGCAACAAACTACAACAAAGATCAGATGGTCCCCATTCTTACAATTACAAACGTCGCCCAACCGGTATAGTGGTTAGCGTCGTTGATTGCCGTGCCTAAGGGCCCGGGTTCTAATCCCGGAGAAGGCATGGATGTTTGCAAATGTATAGTGTCGGAGCGGCATGGCGGCACTCTAAATATGCGGCCAGCCGAAAGTCCTCTCGTGTGGTTTGGTGACTCTCGGACCCATCCCCCAGGGGTGTTGTCCATCAAAATTGGGGAGGAACTGAGCAAAAATTGCACTGTCACCTGAATGGTGCTCAAGGCTTTTGCCAACCGCAGGCGTAATCTAGCGCTCCTTGCCACGAGGAATTTCGTGGGCTTGGACTGATTACGTCAGACAAGTGAACACAAACAACACCAACACAATGATGCAAGAAAGACAACAACTGACGCTTGGTTCTATCAGCTGGCATGAATTTCAAGGTGGGTGAGAATTGAATTTTTTGTAACTACCGGCTTGTTCCATTTCGATACGCTGTGTATGCATTCAATAGCCGTGCTGTTAAGAACATGCATAGTGGATTTGGGATATTTGTGTGTCATGTGTCGATTTCGTTGTGCCTTAGAGTTTTCTGTTATAGAATACATATTGCATACATACAAATTTTGTCTGCTGGAGAACCATTCATTTATGTCACTCTAAAATGGTCAGTCTGAAAAGCTTTTTATCTAATAAAAAGCTAAAAACTGATAAGACGATTCCCTCACGATTCTCTATTACTAAAGAAATTATGAAAATCATACTTACATGCTCTTGAATGAAATCCACGAAATATCTCGATGAGTCATCTGTAGTTCTTTCCTTAATTTGTTTTAGAATTTGCTTCTCTAGTTCAACTTTAATCTGTTTAGTCGAAAAGATTTAAATTAAACACACTTGAAACAATATTACATTTAACTATGTGATAAAAAACCTAAAAACACAAAAATGGGAAATGTTAATAAAAATTTTAGTTCATAAAGTGTCAGTACTTTTCTCTTTAATTTGATTTAGAATTTTCTACAGTTCGACTTTAGTCGGTTTAAAAATAAAAAGAGTTAAATTTAAGTAATTTAAAACACATTATTACTTAACTTTATTTTCGTCATGTTGTAGGGTTTATATTTATTTTAACTAACATTTATTTTAAGTTTATTATCTTTCCTGTCAAGCCTTACTTTGCCCTGGAATTGCCAATGCCAGAGTATGTAAATTTTAGTAGAACGCGCAAAGTATTCAGATTTTCAGCGGAAGTAAATTTGAGTTAAATAGAAGGGAAACGAGTTCGAATGTGTGCTTTCTTGCTTCACGAGCGTGAAGGTGGCTAGGTAGAAATTGAAGAACCGCGCGTTTCGGCCTGTGTGCTTGCCTCGGCAGGTAGTTGAATCTTTCAACTTAATATTCAGAAGTTTGCTGAAATATCAGCGGTATCTTAGAACGCGGTTAGGTTAGTTACGTTTAGAGAGCCTCGTAGGTAGTAACTTGTTATTATTCATTTTTAGTTTCTTATTTTTATTTTACCGCCGGGTCGGCGTAGTTTGTGAGCGTCAAGTTCACGCATCTGTAACTTCTAAAGTAGAATAAAAAGGGAGCTAAACCCTTCTTAAGAGTTTTGTGTACTTTCCAGTTCATAGCAGTCACTATTATTGTTGCGTGTAGGTTGGGGCCGCGCAACTCCACAATGTAATAAAAAAAAGAAAAGCACGAGAACAATCTAGTAAAAGATTTCAAGTAACAGCAACCAAAATTAAGATGAAAAATGTTAATAAAAATTCAAATCAGAGCAAAGAAAATGAAAATTATGATAATTATATAAAATTGAAATAAATTAGATAATTTCTCAGTAAGAAAAATATATATTTTCATCGCCTTTTTGTATTCTGCCCGATACATTCAATATCACAGTTTTAAATAAATTAAAAGTTTTCTTAGTTTCAAATATATAAGGATTTAAGAATTGTCAAATATTTTCAAGCTTTTATTCATTCATATTTAACGCATATGTTTCTATATTTATTGAAAATTCTTCAGGAAATTCTGGTCTTTAAGCAGTTGTATTTCATGCAATGATGTTTCATAACTAATAAAATTAGCATATATGTTTGTAATATAAATATATGTTTTCATATCATGCAAGTTGCTTCATGTTTTGCTCTTGAAGTTCATGGAAAGGACGTAATCTCATTTCTTAAGATTCTTAGATATTGTAAAAAATATTTTCACGTAAGTGAAAGTTAAAATATAAAACATATAATGAGAAAAAAACTATTTCTGACAAGTAATTTTTACTTAGAATGAAAAAGAAGCAGAAGCATATTGGTTTGGTTGATTTATTTGGTCATGGTAACAAATGCAAACTCTATCTTCATAAGAAAACGTACTGGACGTTTATGTTTAAAAATGTGGGCATCAGATCCTCGGCTGAGGATTGTAATTAGCCCTACCCGATAGTTGCAACACCAGAAGTTATTCCAAGCCGCTGAATTTAAACTTTAGACTGACTAATTGACCTGACGCGATCTGGACCAACTGATCTGACTGTGAAGGAATTTAAAATGTTTGAAAGAGATTCAACACGAATTAAGAGAAAATTCTTTCCTTTACTTATGTTGAATAATTACTGTTTTTAGGCTTAAAATATCTCATTACATTTCAGATTGTTGCTTTGTCGTATATGCATCATTCAACGTGGTATAATGCGACTCTCGTTAGCAGTTTTCTAAAGCGCTTAAACCTGCCAGATGAAGTATGAAAAAGCAAGAATTAAGCCCTTGCCTGTGACGCCCGAACTCAGTTCGGGCACGGCAAATGCTCCAATTTTGGAATGCCCGACCTAAGTTCGGGCAAGAGAAAAATTCGGTGCTTCAATTCCGTGAAGCCCAAACTCAGCTCGTCCAATGCATAGTATGTAATTTGCCATTTTCCCAATACATCGCGATACTTTCTCGCGAGATGTTCGGCAGTTTTGCGACATTTGTCGGACTTTTATAATTTTGCATTTCTTCCCAAATTTCATTCAAACCACATTATGCTTGCAATGTCGTAATCAGACGATGATGAAAAATATTTGTTAGTCTCTTCATGCTCAGATACCAGTATTTCAAGAGAAGAGTATGACTATTCCGAAAGTGAAACTCTTTCATGCCAAAACTGGATGCCGCTGTGCTCGAATAACCTGCCTCCTGCCGCTTCAAGATTCCCATTCCAATAACCACAAGTGGCTTCAAATGACAAATGACAGAAAGACATATCTTGTGGGTGCAAGAATTGACACTTCTACCTTTACTCAAGGAAAACAATATTTTAAACTATTTTTTGATGACAATTTGATTCACTCCATTACGGAAGAGACTAATAGTTATGCACAGCAATGCATTAAAAGGCAACGTTTGAAGCCAAAAAGCCGATCAAAAATGTGGTTGCCTACAAATGACTATAAAATGAAAATCTTTCTGTTGCTCCATTTCTCAATGTTTTGGTCAAAAAGACATAGCTTGAAACTCCATTCTTTCACGCAGATTTAAATCCTACACGTCCTACAACAGATTTAAATGATAAGAAAATATTTACATTTTGTGAACAATGTAAAAGTCGACCTTGAAACACACCCTATTGCAAAACTGCACAAAATTTGGCCCATTCATGTAAAAATCCATTGTACAAATCTGAGGAACATGAAATTCATGACAGTTGGTATTAAATAATAGTATTGTTGTAGTAGTTGTATTGTATTATATTTATCTTAAAAATTCTGTCATTTGATTTATTTTGCTATAGTTTGAACACAAAATTGCTGTAATCCACGAACATTTCTCATATATGCGAAAATATTGAATATAGTAGTTATTCTAATTACATTTTTTTAAATAACCTATTTTTAATATTTATGATTATGAATATTATTTTAAAAATAATATTTATGATAATAACGTACAAAATTAAAGGAAAAAAATTTCATTTTTGGCAAGTTTTTCTCAAATATATTCCACAGGCAAGGGCAAGAACGCACTTTGATTTCAATGATTAAGGTCCGGAATGATATTATCATTACAGTCGTATTTTTTTACACAGATAAACCTCAGAATGTGTTTTAAAACAGTCACAAAAATTTTAATTCAGAATATAAGCATTTTAAATCCGAATGGAAATTTGTTAAGTCGATGCTTTAATTCCATGTCACTAAACGAGATCAGTTTCAAACTGCAAGATTTTATTTTAATTAGTGAGTTACTTTTATATTACTTTTTCTTATCTTTTTATTTTCTCCGCAAGAATGTAAATTAGATTAACGATAAAATCAGGATTATGAATTATTTTCGTCAATTTTCTTAGTAACACTGATTGATTGTTTGCAAGAGATCAACATATTTGTTGGCTGAAGTTAGCTTTATGCTAGTACTAGAGCGCTTTGGTGTTCTAGAGTACTTTGGTTTGATACTAGAGTGTAAATTATTTTCTATTTAGAAAATTTATTAATTAATTTAATTAAAATTATTTTCTATTTAGAAATATTTTATATTTTATTTCTAGTTTCTACTCATTTCGCTAGAAACAATTGAAAAAGATTAGAGTTTCAGAGCCGAACATTTGGGGTATGTTAGTTTTAAGTTTTTCGGTATTTTGCTCTTTTTGCTTGTAGCTATTAAAAATGTTTTGTATTTTTATTTTCTATTTGAAGTTAGTATTTTCTAACTTCCAACAAATACCAAAATTAGCATTAAGTTTCATTTCCACCCGCGTTTTAATTGTGTCTAAATCAGCGTTTCCTAAAGGATTCATGGAACACTGGGGATTTATGGAAATCAGTCAAGGATTCCGCGAAATTTGCATGCTTTTTTTTTTTTTTTTTTTCGTAACATTGAAGGAAGTAACTTAAAAACATTAAAATTTAAAGATTCTACGAAATTATAGCAAGAACTAACTCTCGCTTTCACTTAGTAATCTGTATAGTCTATGCGAATGCGAGAATCCAATGTCGTTAGTTATGATGTGGTCGTACGGGCAATTTTTAACATTTTGCAGTAGCCGCGCTGAAGAATCGCTCGGAATCTTAGTATCGATGATTCCTCGGCTCATTTTTTTACTGATTGCCGCACATGAGGAATCTCATGTATCTTGAAATACAGGGGAATCCCCAAATTCTCAAAATACAGAAGAATCCCATGTAGTACTTGAACATAAAATGGTGCTGCGAATAGATGGGCATAATAGTGACTTGCCGATGTGTCTCTCATAAAATATAAATCAATTCAAAGTTTCTTATATTTTACTTTTTTTGTTTATTCGTATACTTTATTGACTCTTATAAGATCACATCCCACATACTCTTCCATAAGATCATGAGTAAAAAACACAAGATCTCGGAGACCAGAATGTATATTATAAACAAATCCAACCAAGATAACAGAGAAATATTTATTTTTTGACGATTACACACTCAGATAAAAGAAGAATTTGCGGCTACATTTTGTTATATTCTGTGTTTGAAGTTTTAAATTTAGCAGCTGTATTAATGTTCAGTTTGTGTTTCATATTCTGCTGTCAACAATACTATCAACGTAAGTTACCATTTACACTTTATCCATTCTTAAAAGATAGCTATCACTGTAATTTTTGTTTTCGATATTTTATTGCAGTGTGGAGAGGTGGCTTTAAAAAAGGCACTAAAATGTGTTTTACTGCAGAACTTGATTCTTCTGCTTCGGACTCAACAACTTTTTTTTTCAAAACTAATGATGGTAAATATGAGAGAGATACAAATGAAATCACTTTAAGAGATGTATGGCCAGAATAATGCTTTTATAAGTAATCAACCGAGAACAATTACTATAAATTTAAGCCGGATGATGAAAGTTATATATCTTTAGAATTAAAGAACAGTAATAACAGTTCTCAGCAAGTTCTTGTATAGAGCTCTATGACTCCAGCTAAAATGCGTCGTCATTTGGAATTTGTTCATGGTAAGTTTTAAAAAAAAAATTGAATTCTTCATTCGAAACTAATGATGGTGAGTGAACGAATTCGAAAGAGTGACGACACAAAAATTAAAAATATTTATGGCTCAAACCACAAAAATGGTGAATAAAAAAGCAACTGAGGTTTCTTACTTAGTCAGCTATCAGACAGCTCAACGCCGCCAAGGATTCTTAGTTAAGGAAACATATTAAACCTTCTGCTATGGAAATGGTAAAATGTTGTTAGATAAAAAGAAACAGCAAAACAAGTAGTTAAGATCCCACTTTCAAATGACACTTAGCTCAGCGCTTCAGAGATTTAGCAGCCAATATAAACTCACTTTTCGTCTGAAACCATGCAAATACGAAAAATCCTATTAAACTTTCTGTTATGGAGATGGTAAAATATTCTTAGATAAAAAAAAAACAGCTCAACAAGAGTTAAGATGCCCCTTTCAAATGTCAGCGATGAGAGCTCCAGTAGCTCGGCGATTGATATATTTTGCCAATATGAACTCAATTTCGTCAGAAATCATGTAGTTAGACTCGCACTGTTAATTGTCCTCATTAGGTGTCAGAACGAAAGCACGTTGGAGGCATTTTTGTTATACAAATTTATACCACGTACTACTACTGCAATGGAAATATTAGGTCTCCTAACAATTTTTTCTTGAAGAGAATAAAACACCATGGACAGCTGCCGATCTGTACCGATGGAGCAATGGCTATGAGTGGCATGTTTAATAGGATTGCACTGGTTATTAAAAATATCGCTTATCTATGTAAAAAAATTATCCCGTTTATGAGATTGCTCCTTGGCTTCATAAAATCTCGGCCACTAACTAATCATTTATTTAAGATACTATGTGAGAACATGGGAAATGTACATACATCTATTGTTTTACATGCCGAAGTCACATGGTTATTTCGAGAAAAGAAACTAATCCGTACATTTCAGCTAGGGGATGAGTTGCTTGCATTTTTAAAGTATTTTTTTTTCGAATTGAAAAGTCGACTGTTTGATAGAAATTGGCTATTTAAAATTGCCTATTTAAGAGACATTTTTACAAAGATCAAAGAACTTAATTTAATACCACAGGGACAAACAAGTAAATTTATTTACTGCTCAGTAAAAATTTTAGTTTCAAGAAAAAGAATTTAGAAACTTGATGTTTTCCAACAATAAAAGGTTTTCGAAAGAGGAAGGGATTAAAATAGGGGAGACATTACTGAAGAAATTATTCATCACTTGAAAGGTTTGAGTGAAGCTTTTAATCCGTATTTTGCAAATGGATGGCAGATTAAATATCAAAATGAATTGTGGATTAAAAACCCGTTTGTTGTCAATGCACAAACTTTGATCATGTCAGCAGAAGAATACGAAACTTTTATTGAAATGATATCTGCTTCCTTGTTGCAAGAAAAATTTTATGAAAGAAATGAAACGGCAAGAAAACTGCCGTTACTGGAATTCTGGTGCAGTTTAAAAGATGATCATATTCATTTGTCATAAAAGGCCTTATTGGCACATTTCACATTTTCAGCTACATTTATTTGCGAAACGGGCTTCACGGCTTATGTGTCAACAAAAAATAAAAGCCGAAACAGACTTGATATCGAGTCTGACATGAGAATTGAACTAATCCATAAAGCCTAGTATTAATTCCATAAAAAAGCAATACCCCGCATCTTATTAAAATTAAAATTTAAAATTCCTATTTGAATACAATATAAGTTATTTTAATAAATTTTCGTTTAATTTTGAAATTGCGTTTTAAAGCAAATAAACATCAATTGAAATAATTATCATTTTTATTGCAAATAATCCATTTACAGATCATTGCATGAAATTAAACTATTTAAGCAAACCAGTGGTTCCACGATTAAAGTGGACATTAGAAAGGATTCTACTTATCAGAAAGATTAAGATAAACTACACAGATTTAATAGGGAAACCTATAATTTGCCTTACCTAAATAAGGTTTCAAAATTAGTAAACACTTTACAGTTTTACATAAATAGCTTAAAGCATTATTTATTTATAGACTTTTCTATGGGTTGCATGATAATTCAACAGCAAACATACTTACAGTTGAGCTGTAGGGGGCATACCACATGAGAATCAACGCTGCTAACTGGATGGCAAAAACGAGGCCAAAGATCAAAATGTACTAAAATAATTGAAAGATGAGCATCAGAATAAGAAAAAATTCATAATATTGATAATTAAATAAATAAAATATATGCGCATTTTAATAATAATAAAGTGGTGTTATTAGGTCGTAAAAGTGCTACAAGCAATAAATATGCTTACAGTATGGGTAAGTTAGTAGTTAAACAAGTAAATACATAAAATGTAAATAATTTTTAAAACATCAGAAGAGATTCTAACATAGTTGTTTTAGTTCCTTAAGTCCCACTATACTTTGAGTTTAGGTGCTAGATGCGTTGCATTTACACTTGCTTTTCTAGTAGATTAGGTAGCTGCTTCCATCTGTTACATCCATGATGAAATTCTCGGAAAACTTTGAATTATTTCGTATTCTAGCTAAAATTATAGTAGTAAGTTTATTATTCCAGGGGAAAGAAATCTGCAATAAACATTAATAGTTCAAATTTTGACCTACAGATGAAGCTTTTCATGCAATTAGAAAGAAGCAAATTAAGAACGTTTTAAAAGGCCAGTAATCAGTACTTTAAAAGCATTCTTTACTACGCCTTTAGAGAGAAAAGTTCGAGCTTTACTGATCAAGTTGTTTTATCAGAACGGCAGTAATGTTTCAACTGCACTACAAGAATATCGACAGTTGAAAGGCTTACGGAAAGTTCCTGTGTCGAGGAAGGATTTGGAAAAGATCATTACTAAATTTGAAGAGACTAGGGAGTTGTGTGTACTGCGAGAAAGGGGACGGAAGCGGATTTCAGATGAAAACTGTGGGAGAAATTGCTCTCTTCATCTTCGAAAGAGTATCCACTTCACAATATTTTCCAACACGTTCTCAAGCGGTGTCACGTTTTTTTTTTCTCTCTTGATGGACAGTTCTGCTATCTACTTTAAAGTGGTATCTCTACAAGATCCAAGTTCTGCAAGAGCTGCAACCTGCAGAGCTGGGCGCAAGAGCACTGTGATTGCTTGCGCTTTTGGTTAGAATAGCTGCTAACAATGCAGGGCCTTGGAACGGTTTGAAAGCATCCAATTCTCAATATTCTTCAACAAGTACTTCAAAAAGTGCTTCAACAACTGTAAAGCGGTATCCATACAAGATCCAAGTTTTGAAAGAGCTGCCTGCAGACCCTAACAAAAGAACTGTTTTTGCATGCCTTCTTTTGGGTAGAATAGCTGTTAACCACGTACAACCTTTGGAACATTTTGTGGTCGGACGAGTCGCAAACGGAACAATTAATATCGATACGAAAAACTGTGTCATACAGGGAACTGCAAGTCCTAATGTTGTGCACGAAAGGTTTCTGTATATACAAGTACGAGAATATTTAGAGACTGCTGTCTTCTTGCAAGATGGTGCACCGCCTCACATCGCCGCACCAGTGAAGGCACTGCTTCTTGACCACTTCAGAGATGATCGGGTACAGTTTTCCGACGGCCTGGTTTCCTAGTTCTCCGGATCTGAATGCCTGTGACTTCTGGTTGTGGGAATTCCTGAAAGATCGTGTCTATGGAAGAAGCATACGGACTATGCGTGAACTGAAAGCAAGCAGAACGCATCACGTTGCTGCAATTGGTCGAGAAATCCTTTACGCCATTATAACACGCTTTGAACGTGTGATTAATACAAATAGAATACACATTGAACAAATGCTGTGATTAAAATAAAGTTTTGTATTTCTAGTTTTTGTTTTTTATTCTTCAAGAGCTCCCTTAAATTGTTGAAGAATATTAGGAAATGGATGCCCCACTCACCTGGTGGTCCAAGTTTGAACTATTATTGCAGCTTTCTTTTTCCCATGATCAATATAATGTATACATCAAGTTTCAAAGAAATAGACCTACCAGAACGGGCTCTACATAGGTCTAAATAATGTAATTTTAATTACAACTATCCTGTATGTCTTCCTTATATTTCAGGTATTTCTCCCGCCTTCTTAGCATGCCTTCGTGGTGTGGTGGTCAGCAAGCTCGATGCGAATTCGAGAGGTCCGTGGTTCGAGTCCTGGCGAGGGCATTGCTTATTTTTCATCTCTTCTGCTTTAAAAATACCTAATGTCTCTACATTGTTATGAACAAAATCTTCATTCAGTAATATCCCGTGTAATAAAATTTGTTAAAAAACCCTTTTTTAAATGATGAATTGATTATTATTTTCAAAAGAAATGCATAAAATACTAAATACACTAATAGTTTGAAACTAAAGATAATATCTTTTAATGTCATCTTTGGTACTTCCGTGTGATCTACAAATACTTAACCTAATTTATTACACTTAGATAACAATGCTCATTATTTAACTAATTATGGTTAAGACTTCTGGGGTTGTCTGCTTAGAAATGAATTCTTCAAGTATTTCCTAAGGAATCATAGCTCAGATTTGTATCAGCGTAAAGAAATAATTTAAATTAAGACTTACGTTTCAAAAATTACTGATAACAAGAGGATGTAGCTTATTTATAACTAATATGACTAATAAATTCGTAACTTTTAAATTACATAAATTCAACTTTAGACCTGCCTCGATTTTAGAAATCGTTTTTCATTTTTTTTTATATTCACATAAATATCATACACAATAAAAGCCATAAAGATTTTTACAAAGGGTGAAATCTCTTCTGATAACGTACCCATAAAATCGACATAAATCAAAAAAGATAGGAGCCAATCGCAGTCAATTCCGTTTTGGAAAACCGTTGTCACCAGTCGTTACAATACCTATAAAGATATCCTAGATTGATTCAAATTTTTATCAGCTCTCGGATATCTGATTTTATTAACAAAACAATTCGAAGCTGCCTTTTGATCTCTCCGAAAGAAAAGATTCAGTGTCACTAATGTCACAATTAATATTGCTGCCCTAAAAGCTTTCTTTATAGTGGTCTTGAGCATGAGCAGTGCTGGAACAGTTTTCACATCATATAGCCTCGTCTTCTCGTGTTTCTCAACATGCTATTAACCAAATAACAGTTCAATGTATAATACAGTGATTTTTCAAAGATTATACTCCTGCACACTGATGAAAGTCATCACTCTGGACATTGATGCCTTCGGAAGATTTAACCCTCTGGATTTAAACAAGGAATATTCCAGAAAGTGCTAAAGGTTTCTTGCTGCTCTGATGGTACCTTTGCACCTAGTATCTTGTATAATTTGAAAGGTATTCCCTTTTGATCTTACAAAGGAAATAAATAATAGTCATGTGCAAAAGTACTTGTTTAAAAGCATGATTTTCTGGCTCATAGTTGTACCGACAGAAAAAAAAATGAAAGTGTAAGAGGAAATCTGCGAATAGAATATTACCGAATGTATCTTGCTTAATCTGAAAAAGGTTGAGAATCATTAATATAAGGCTTACTAAATTAACTATCCAGGCAAAGTAGCAAATTCTTTACTCGGAGAGATTTTAGCAGTCTGCACTTTCCATAAGATCCTTGATTTATTTTATAGCATCAAAGAAAAAACGTAGAAATTTGAAATAATATGTATATTTCTTAATAACATTACAGGAATTTTTACTATCAGTGTAAAATTAATAAAAAAGACATTTCTAATGTCATATGCTTTAGATTTTAGGTAAAGAACTTTTATTTTAACAAATTAAACACTACATCGATTAGAAAGAAATGAAGTTATATAAATCTTGCCGCTAAATATTTTACATAGTGAGATGATCGAACAACTAAGCAGCAGATGGAAAGCGTTTGTCCACAAGGTAATGAAAGGATTCTTTTGACCGAATCCGAAAGACAAGGAAAAGAAAATGGACTTCGAGATATGTGACAGACATTCCAAGAAAATAAAATACCTTTAACTGATCTTTATGGCTATACCTTAGCAAATTTTATAATTACTATATCTTGCTACGAAAGCAATTCAGAGAAGTCTCGAGCAGAATACTGAGTTAAAGTTTTGCATGAACTTCAAACAATATGATTCTGAACCAGTTCAGTTGTTCTGGACAGCTTAGGAAGATGCTGTTCTGCTTCAGTCCAAGCCTTCGGATGGTACATGACGTTCAGAACGAAAGTCTGAAGAATGAACAGAACGTCCTTCAGTTTTAAAAGTTAAAACTAGTGGAGCTTCATACAGGTACAGAAAACTTAGAATTAATAATTCATTTAAGAAAAAATGTTGTACACGTCCATCGTGAAACTGTTAACACGAGGTTTTTTTCAGCACGAAAGTGTGTCAAATAATATGCATAATTTGTGATTTCTCTTATTCCTCAGTCTCACAATCCATTTTGAAAGGCAATGTTTCGGTGAAGATCCCTCATGTAGCTTCCATGAGGAGTTTGAACACCACAAATGAAGATTTCTTCCACGGCTTTGAAAAAATCTTTGAAGATTAGCAGCAACACGAAACGGCTGTATTCGATCATAAGACATCTATATATTTTAAGTGACAATTTTTTTAAATTGAGCATATATTCGATTACTTTTCTTTTCTATCTTACTCATTATTTTTTGGACAGTCTTTGAACGTATGATAGATTTATCATACGTTCAAAGATTTATCAAACGTCAAAAAAAAAAAAAAAAAAAAAAAAAAAAAAAAGATTTATCATACGTGCAGTATACACGTATTAGGGTTTTTTTGATGCTGGAGACGTGAAAAATATGCAATGCCCTCGCCAGGACTCGAACCCTGGATCTCGAACACACATCGAGTATACTTCCAGTTACACCACGAAGGCATGCGGAAAAGAGGGAGAAAATACTTTTTAAGTCTTCATCCTTTCAAATTGCTAATTAGAAGTATTAAAAAATGCTTAAACAAATAAAATGACATATTTATTCAGAGGTAAATGCTTTCATTCAAATTATGTTTTATCAGTTTACTTTTGTACTTCAGCTTAATATAAAATATCAGTAATATTGTATGTGTCTCATTTTCTGCTTTAACTTTTAAATAAAAAAATAATGAATTATTTATTTTCATTTCTGTTAATATTATTATTTAATTCTGTTACTATTTTCTGTTAATTAGCATATATTTCTGTTAATTATTATTATTTCTCTTAATAAGTTCTTTCTTCTATCTGATTTAAAAATTTGTGGAATTCTTCCTTTTCATTGGCAAAACATAGGGAATTCGGTTTTTCAAAATTTCGTTCCTATTATTTCAAGTTATTTTGTTTTTAATTCAATAAGCTTTCTTTCATAAATTTTCGTATCAGTGCCTAGTTATTGGGCACTCGTTCTTAATTATTTATATCTACAGTAGTGCTATGTCTTCAAAATCGTGTTTTAAACTTCGTCGTAAAATAATTACAAATAGCGAAAAATTCAATTTGAGTATAAAATTAATTATATTACAAAATTCTTCAACAAATAATTTTTGTTTAATCTACTATTTTCATTAAATCATTAGTTATAAAATTACTTAGCATTATAAATACAATTAGGACAAAATATTAACTGAAAATTATATTTCGTTCTGAAAATGTATTGAAATTTCACTGAAAAATATTATGAATTAAAGATTACTTAATAAATATCGTCTAAGCAATTAACGGCTTTTAATTTTTGATGTTAAATTCATTAAAATTAGTAAATAGCCCGTATTCCATATGAAGTTAGTTATGAAAGGAAACTTTCATATAAATTTTACATTTTGCTCAGTCATTGATAAATTAACCAAAAATATCCAATAAGTTCACTTTTCACATCAAATTAAAAATATGTTGGGGACATCACATGACTTCCTTGTACAGCCTATTAAACTATACACATTTTTTGCTGCATTTCTTTTAAACTTATTTCCTCGAACTTTAATTAGAGATATATTTCTCATTCAATTAATTCAGCTCTCACTTCGCGGCAAACACCCCCCCCCCGAAAAAAAAACATGAAAACTGAAAACATATTCATTAAAAATTGTACGATACAGAAAACATAAAACACCAAACACAGTTAAAACAATTAAAAAATTTGCAATTAAAAAAATTTCAACGTTCCAAGGCTACTCGTTTTTGAGTTTTGCAAGATCCATACATACGTGCGTACATAAAGACTCACGAAAAAAATCTCTTCTGAATCTATTTTAAATCCCTTTTACAATTCGTTTTTGGGAAAATGAGGCCTTTGTTCTATCCATAGGTACAGATGACATACAAATACATCGTTCCAATGGACTCGAGAGCGGTCAAATTGAATATTTTTGTTGAAATATGATTCCTGAAATTTTTCACGATTACAATACTTCCTTTAATTCGTACAAGGAAGTAAAACTGTGTCGAAGTTTTCAGATATATAATTTAATAATATTCATTTTGCACTTTTAATTAAATTGATTATATAATGTTACCAAAGAAGATTAAACCTTATACGAAAGATATAGAAAAATATGTTCTACAGTGTTTGGTGTATTAGAACTAAACGCTAGTATCAAATTCAATTCAAAAAATTAAGAGAAAGAAAATACTCATTAAATTATATAAATAAATGAAATAAAGATAAACATTTTATTTGAGGATAAACATTCCGATTTACATCAAATTTTCATAAAGATTTCAATAGTTTTCTTTAAAAACTATTAAAATACTAATTTTAAGATGAGATATTCTTCAGTATTTAAAACTCATAGGAAATTTTAAGCATGCAGTATGTTAATTTATATACAGTAGTGTTGTACTAAAATAATTTATTAAATATAAAACAATCCTAACTGCTTACCAAAATCAACAACCATCTTTTCTCTGCGACGGCCCCAAAGCATCCTATGAAGCCGATGATTATTATAACAATGGCAGCCACCATGAACATGAAGCAGACTGTCTTGAGATTATCCACATCTAAAGTTGACTCGTATTCCCAGAATTCGGGATCAACTCGCACCCATATCGCTACGCACAGCATAACGAGACCCAAGGTCTAAAGAAAGAAACGAAGAATAAAATAAAACTTTTTTAATACGCAAAATTACTTATCGCAAATATGTTTAAAAATGCTTAGTTTAACTTGGTAAAAAATATGTATAAAATATGCTTATTGACTTATTTGAAGGGGTGAAATTAATATTTTGTAAATAGATTAAAGCTCCGTAGAAGCTCGGGTCGTCTCCGTAGTCGTCTAGACAAAACAAGTTGGCTTATTTGAGCAACAGAAGAGCACCACGATCTTTGTCCCTATTTATCATGTACTTCGAAGTTTATATAGTTCGTAAAATTATACATGGCTTTAGAAATTCAAAACAATCAAAGAATATAATAGTGCGACGATTGTTTATCAGTTAACGTTCACAAGTTCTGTGTTATTCCAGCACGATGTTTATATGTGTCTTAAGCAATACTAGTGTAATACCCAAAACTACAATATATTGAGCAGCCTTATAATAAGAGATCCGCGATGTCCCATTTCAGTCCTTCCCAATTTAGGCTTTTTGGAAGTAGGAACAAAAACAGGCCACTTCCGACATTCTTTTTGCGCTTATTTAGGATGAGAAAATCTAAAATTCCGCCATTTCAGTCTTCCCTTCACCAAAATTGGTGGGGCAGGTGATCAAAGAAAGAGGTTAGTGGAAATGATAACACGTGCTTTACCACATGTTATTATCCCATATAATTTTTATATGTTCATCATATATTATCTCATATAATTTTTATATGTTCATCATATATTATCTCATATAATTTTTATATGTTCACTGTATTAGGTATAATGCCAGTGATATTAGTATTGCGTTTAAACACTTTCTGAACCCGAAATTTAAGGAGCAGAGCGTCACTCTGATATCACCTCATACATACTTCACATCCCATAGCATTTTGACCTTAATTTAGAACTAGAATGGAAAACTTGAAATAGGAATTTTCTTTTTTTATGCCCCATAGCAGAAGGCTAAAATGGGACACTTTTAGAAAAAGCCTGATATGGGAGAGCTTGAAGTGGGAAATAATCAAAGATCTGAAGTTTGTTCTGAAAACAATGTATAATTTTCAAAACAAAATCCAAATCTCGATAACGATTGTAAGCTCTGTTTAAAGAACTTTTCCTTAATCAATACATTTTAAAGCATCGTGGATTTTTTTTAAAATTTATTTATTTCTACATTTATGTTTATAAAATTGGTCTGTGAATATCGCAACCTTTTTTAATTTTCATTTTTTTTCTGCTCTTACAGATGTAGATCTACTTCAGAGTGTTCTTACTGCAAAGATAACCTGTTACTGTATGCTTCACACCTAAAACCAGAATAGGAGTAAGTGCTTAAGATAAACAATATTAGACTCTCCCATTTTATCGTCTAAAATCTGACGGTTGCTTCATCGTTGGTAAATCCGAGTTCAGAATACAGTTACTTATCTAATCTATTGTTTTGCACCCTTTAAAGTCTTCATGCTCAATCAGGAATGCTGTTGAATTGAAGTGGACGATTGTGAATGCTAACAGCTAACATTTTTTAAACTGTTAAATGGGAAGTTAATTTTAAACACATCATGTCCCAGCTTTCATTAACTTTTACTGTTCGTTCTTTTACATATCACATTTATGCGCTGTCAAATAATCTAAACTTGAGTTTAATAAAAGAGGCAATAAAGCCTTTAAAAGTGCTGGAAACTCTTAGAAGGATTATTTAAATGATAATAATAACTGAGTATTCAAAAGTATAAGAAAAAATTCGAATTTACATGCTAGAGGGAAAACAGAATTGCATGTTTGATCTTTTTGTAACTAGACGAATAAAATCTCAATGGAAGTTGTTCTGTTTACCAAAATATTTCTTACTTCTTGCACCCATTTTGTATTTGCCAAAATGACACAGCAAGCCTATGAATTTTCATATAGGAAAACGAGTACAGAAGAAGAAACATGATATTCAAGACAGATTTTGTAATGCCATTTAGAAATATTCGGATTCAGAAGCCTTGTATATCGTACCCATACAGGGTATAAGACTAAATTTCAGAATCGTGTTTATAAACACGATATACCTTTCATCGGATTTAAAACACACTTGTTGTAATACTACACTGATAATAGCAAATTAATCCTGATTTTACAGAGAATAATTAGAATAAGTAAAATTCGAAACATAAGATAATAGATGAGAGAGCTATTTCATCTTATTTACAAAGTTTCAAACGATTAGGTCTTTTAAAATTATATTTCAATTGAAAAGAATAATTACTACTTCTCAAAAATAATGTATTTTGCAACACAAAAAACAATATATTCTTAAAAGAAATTTTAATTTTATATTGAAAGAACTTTACATTTAGAATTTATTACGGGATTAAATTTCAGGGTTTATAACAAGATCAAAAACATTTGAAAAATCACAAAGCATTGCAAGTTATTATGCATGATTTATTTAAAATCTAAACATTGGTTATCTTTGTAGGATCTCAGACGTAAAACTAATCGTAGTCCTATTTCTACTATAATTTGCTAACACGTGTGATTAACGTAAATAATTTCTTTTATAAAAGTAAGATAATATTGGCGTAAATTTCTAGAAAGAGAGAGAGAAGATATCGGTTGTATATATGAAAGGAAATCCACTGTTTAAGATGCTAAATAACAACATTATCTTATAATGAAAATGCTAAATAACAAACATTATCTAACTCCTCCAAAAACAATATCTAGCTTAAGCAAGTGAATATCACTAACCAGTTAATATATTTGAAAGCAGTGAGAAATAAATTTTTATTTTCTTTTGTCGCATGAATTAAAATGTATTTGTTCGGAAGTATTTCTATTGCTTAGTTCAAATAATCAATAACGTTTCTTTTTGTAAACATGAACCAACTAATTGTCTTGATTGCTAATAATGTCATATGTAGCACTGTCTCAATGAAATTGCATCAGGCCGTCTTTTAAGCAATCTGCAATGAAAATTGCCACAGATATTGGCTACAATAAATTTGTACGTAGAAATTAATGAAATGACTAAAGGAAGCAGAATAGATACTTAACTGGAAAAATTAGTAAAATATACTCGTATAATTTACTCGTATAAAAACATTACACTATAATAGGAAAAGCAGTGTTGTTGTTAGAATTTAACTACGCTATAAAGTAATAAAATGAATAAAAATATTACACTGTAAAAGTAATAAAATAAACGTTAAAGTAATTAAATAAATAAAATCATAACGCTGGAATATAAAACGCAGTGCTGCTCTTAGCATTGCATTGACCTATAGAAATAAACATCTGTCGTATTCTAAAGATGCAGAAGTTGTACTTTTTCAGCATATTTTGATAACATGATAACGTCTGTATTCCATCAGATACCCCCTCCATGCTTTGGTAACAGTGCTGCAAGATTCAAATGTAGAAAGAAATTTTTTAATAATCTTGAGTGTTATCATAAAGTCCTGCAGGGTTAAGCATTTTTGCATCCATTCTGCACATCGTTTCCGCAATGTGACGGATCGTGGTTGATGTGATTTCCTACTCACGATATCCCACGTATTCTCAGTTAAATCTAAATCGCAAGAATTCGTTGATAATTTCAACCATAGAGTAACTTTTGTTTAAAATAGTGCATCCATCTACAGTATTTTCAAATTGATAAATATCTGTAATTCCATGGCTGTACCGTATAAAAAAATGCAACATTCCTATAATATGAAGTCAAATTACAACAAAACCTGACTCTTTTCGCTCTCTGATACGAAGCTGAATTCTTCCGGTATATTACATGAGATGACTTTGAAAACTGGTCGTGTATTTGGCAGAAGTCTGTTCTTTGGGATTTCCTTTGCATCCAGCAGAATTAACAGCTCCATTCCTAAAAATTAGTCTGCCAATTTCATAATGGAAAATACTATCACATTGTCTAACACGCAGGAAATTTCCCTGTTACAATCGGGATGAAACTTTTCACCTGTTGTCTTTCAAACAAATTCAATTTCTTGAGAGAAAGATTTGCTATTTTGCTCCAGGGAGATTAAAATCGCGACTCCTCAGAGAGTATTATAGTCTTCCTTTTGTCTAGAGACTACTGCATATGTTCCTTAGTTCACTGTAAGCGCTTCTGTATCACAACAAAAGTAAGCAAAATTTGAATAAACAAAAAGTAAGCAAAAAGTAATAGCATCTTTGAATTATATGCAATTAGTCCTTTCCGCATTAATCTATGTTATCTAGCTGCTCGCAAAAATCTAAGCGCTTTCTTCTTGTGATCGTTTCAGTTTGGACGATGAAGACTGCCGGTCTCGCTGCCTGCGGAAACGGTTTTTCAAAACCTTGTCAGTAAACGAAACAGGCTTCTTTAATTGCATAAAATAAAAGTTGCTGTGTCCTTTGTACAACATTTCTGTTATTGTCTGTGCAATGGAAATTTTTCTCCCAGATGACGATTACACAAACGCCGCCCAGACGGTATAGTGGTTAGGGGAGCCGACTGCGATACCAAAAGGACCGGGTTCGAATCCCGGAGAAGACATGGTTTTAACCGTCCGTGCCTTCATAGGAGGCAAAAGTGGCCCACCTATTAGATGCCTCCGTAAAAAAAGGCCACCACTTCCGGCCTCAGTAGTGGTCAAGCTGAAGTCGGATGACGGCACGCCATTTGGGGGAAAAAAATAATAATTACACAAACGTGACCATTATACTTCCTAAAATACCGAGACAGTAAATGTTGCAAACGCGTGAGAACAGGCATTTTAAATCAGAAATCGGACATGACGCAATCAGTCAAAGTTCATATAACTGAGTATACTTTGATATGAAATTTACTTGTTTTATTATAATATTTTGCTGTGCTGACACAATATTAGTTTAAAAATTACGATGAGTAGTTTTTATCGAGCAAGGGTTTAATATTGTACATGGAACTGTTGACTATTCTGCATAATTCAGACCTGTTTACTTTGAAATTAGTGAGTTTCTTGCACTTCCCACCATTTGCTGGAGAAAAA